GGGGGTGGAGCGGGGGTGCGTGGGGATGAGCCAGAGAAAGTATGAAAATTTTCTTTTGAAATTAAAATTTTCCACAAATTGACAGAAAATATTTTCTTCAAAAAATATTTTTTTTCCACTAGTCACTACCCGGTGTGTAGGGAGGTTGATCCATGACCGCACAACGGTTGGAAACTTGAGAACAATGGCTTGCCCATTATGAATTTATGTATTTTGATAATTGATAAACACAAAGACAAATACAATGACGAAATATGACTGGAGAAGATCTCACATTTTATTGAGATCAAATGTCCAATTAAAATGAAGATTTCCAAATTCCAATAGTAAAACTTGAAAATTAAATTGTTTAGATGGATTCAAAATGATGCTTACATTGTTAGCGATATGTGGGAATGGCGGGGTGACGGGCAGTACCTGAGGCTCGATAGTGTAAATAACCGACAACAGTGAGTGATCAATAATTGAAAGATACTCTTTATATCAAAATACTCGAATTGACATCCTCCACATTGTAAAGATACTTAACGGTTTGCCAAACGTAATCTACTTTTCAACAAAGTGTCCGGTTGGTGCTGTGCATTATACTTTCTCTGTCCTAAAAATATCTTCTCAGTTACTATTCATACGGTCAAACTTAAAACGCTTTCTTTATCTATTTTTGCTACTTATTTGATAAAATAATACTCCTATAGTCTTGTCACCTCTCGTTTTGTAGAACTTTTAATGTAATTTTTAAATATGCAAATTTTATTTTTTAAATTTTTACCTACAATCAAATAAATTGAATTGAAAATAAAATTGGTCAAACCTCGTAAACACAAATTGGAAGATGATTTTAGAACATAGGGAATGTTCTTTTAGTAATCTAAAAAATTGATAAGAGCCCTAGTCAGCCACACGGTGTGTTACTGTGTTCTAGGTTCTGATGACTTAGCCATTCTCCAGTGCCCAGCGGCGCCAAAACCGCTCCTTTTCATGCATGCCAACTTCTCTGGAATCGGTATTTCATCGGGCCAAACAAGAGACTGAAATACTCCGCATCAATATATACTGATTCATAATTATGGTTTGGGGCCTCTTCCCTGTTGACCCACTCCCAGGTTCCGATTTCTTATTCTATTTCACGAGTTCCCATAATCTTTTTTCATGCTTATCTGTTAGGTTCAAATTTGTGAACTTTAGGGGGCGTGAGGCGCCTTTTCAACCCGTAATAGTATTTCAAAGATAAGAGGTTATAGTTTTATCAAAAAAAAAGAAGATAAGAGGTTATAGTTGATGAATTATGTTTGTAGAAGGATGGAGAATGTGGGTGGCCTGTTCTTTTTACATCTTCTTCTTGGAAATGGAACCTTCTGGTCAGTATGATAACCTGTGTGTGTGTGTTGGGGAGGGGGGGGGGGTTATGACCTTAGTTCTTAAAAATGATTTTTTTTCTTTTCAAAGTTAACGTTTAGCTTCCAAAGCTCACAATGGTCAGTGCATTGTGATAAACAATATGGCAATATCGTATTTCTAGCTTTAAATTTTAGGGGTTCTCATTGCTAATTTTCCCACAGGTTTGCTGGTAACTACATTAGTTTGTCTAGGACTTGTGAGGCATGTTTGGTAAACAACATTTTGTCTAGCATTGTGCTGTTTTTTCTTAGTCAAGTACTATGATGTTTGGTAAAGTAGTATTTTGATGTTCGTTAAAGTAGTTTATGTTGAACAAAATGCAGATAGGATCGACACTTTGTTATTAGCATTTTAGTTTTACTTTTTAGCATTATGCTGAGTTACCAGACATTCTTTTTTAAAATAATAACTACCCCTTATTAATCAAATCTGCTAATACAAAATTACAAATTGATAAGTGATAACTGTCGTCTGCTATTTGTCAAACACCACCTCAATGTTTCTTCCTCTGCACAGTCAACACCTCTGTATTTTTAGTTCCTGAAATTTGAATTCTTCTGTTTTGGAGATCTCTTAAACTATGTTTGGTTCGTGGATTTCGAAAGGAAAGGAAACAAAAGATGTTTTCTCTCTTTCTCACCAAAATGGAAGGAAATGTGTTTTCATTCTCTTTTGGTCATTTTCATCTATTTTCCTTTTCTTCGACCTTTCTTTTCTTTTCCTCTCTAACCAAAAACGGAAATGGTTTTCCTTCTAATTTTCATTTCTTTTCCCTTCCAAAATCCTTGAACCAAACATAGTGTTAGGATTTTGAAACCCTCCATCTACGAAGTGGAAGCAGTGTAACCTATATTTCAATGTAAAGTTGTTAAACACTTCGCACAAGTTTTAGTTTCCCTGTGAGCTTCTCACGCGGTGGTGTACTACTGCTCAATTTATGTGCTCACATATTGAGTGCGAACTTTGTTATCAGCGGTGCGTTCTACTTTTTTTTTTTGGGGGGGGGGGTCACGGGTAGTGCTTCATCGAATCATCGCTAGTTATGTGATTACCCTCCAAATGCCCCCTATAGCATCACTTTGGGAAATGGCTAGCAATTGCATGCTGTTAATTCTGATTTCAGTTTTGCGGGTGAACTGATATAGTATTGGTCTTTTGTGTGATAGGTGAGAATAATTACTATTTCTCCAATAAAGGAACATACAAAGTCGGTCGAAAAGGTACCCTGGGACAAAGGTGGTCTATTTTCAGCTCCACTAAACCAGTAATTGTATTTTTAACATTGTCAATTATATTGTTTGTTCGTCCAGGATGTGATATAATTGTCAACAAAGATAAAACAGTTTCAAGGATCCATGCAGAAATTGTGATAGATGAGATGATATATTTGGAGAAAGTGAAAAAGCATTCGGATGTGGCCTCTAAAGTGCGGATAAGAGACTGTTCAAAGTATGGAACCTTCATCGGCAATAAACTCACTTCAAAGGTGAAGGTTCACGAGTTTCCAAGTAAGGAAACAACGTTGAACGATGGGGACCTGGTTTCATTTGGTACTGGCAGTGCAGTATATAGGTAATCCAGGTGCATTGCTAACACTAATGGAATCATCTTCTTGTCATTAATGTTGTTGGTGTTCTTATTATTATTGTTATTGTTATTATTATTATCTTTAATTAATATTAATATTATATCAAATCGAGGGCCCTCCTTTCTGACACATACACATGTGTGCGTGGGCGGGGCCTTAATAACATGTGATTCTTTGCAGGTTTTCTTTTGTTCCCCTTGTATTTTTCATCTGCTCACCAGACAAGTCTAGAGCAAGTCAACTTATTACCAAGAATATATCAGCAATAGGTGAGTGGTTTTAGCTTATAATCTGTATGTAACATGGCAAGTGGCTTATTTTATGAATGAAGAAACTACTCGAAAAGGTTTCTGAATAACTAGGCATGTAAACAATTTGTTAAGCAGTATCATACTATTGTAGTATTGTATGCACTATATTTATCTCTTAGTTTTTTACTTTTCACCTTGTATCTTAGTGGCTATCCGAAAGAAGAAATCTAAATAGGCTTGAAACACGACTAAAGTACCAAAATAGGAATTGTAAAAAAGGAATGTGGAATACTTAAGTCTTTATACTCAAATACTGTGTGTCTTTGTACGATTAAAAAGAGGGCATGCTGACAAAATTAACCATCATTCATACATTAACAATATTAATGCTTTTACAATTAACAGCATCCACAGTACACCACCGTTGTGCTCCACAACTGTTTCTCTACATGGCCATGTTGCCGGATTCCAGCTACCACTTCCAGGTACGGTCAGTGCAGTCAGAATCTGGCTGTCCTGTCAGATACTGCCATACTGGGCACTGGAATATGGCCACTTCTACAAGACTCCGCCCGCTGCTGCTCTTTACTGTCATCCTGTTATGGTCGAAAGCTCAAAACTTTATCTTTTATTTTTAAAAACAATTTAATTCATTGCTACCTCAAGATCACAGAGCCATCCATTATGGCAATGACAACCATGATGCCGGTGAAAGTATAGCAGTGTTTAAACCTAATTAGCGCTGCTACTTGTCATCACATTGTCATCTAGATCACCACCATTGCCCTGTGACAGTGCTACCATCCACCACCACACACTACCCCCCCCTCTACCTCTACTAAGATTGCCATCTACGGATCTACCAAAATACCGCTCTCTTACATCCCATGATCCCATCCACCATCACTGCCACCCTACACTGCCAAAGCGTGTGGCAGTGAAAATATTCGTTGTCACCTTGCCCATCACCACCATCACACACAAATCAGTGAACAACAGCGCCAACCATTAACAGAGGGAGGAAGGAAAATAGGATTGGGTAATTTAACTTGAGAAATAACTAAATGGTGGCAAAAATTGAAATGATGGTCCTATTTAGTAATAAAAATTTCAATGGTTATACTCCTATTTAGGCATAGAAGCTACCTTTTAGTTCCATTAGGGACCTTCTATATTGTTATTATGATTTTCTAAAGTCTAAACTGGTTATGCTACCTATAGTTTCCCTAAGCTATTGCATTAATATTCCTCCTGTTTTGTAATTTTATACGATTAACACTTCAAGTACACTGCAGGGGCCGGCATTACCAGAAACTGGAGTGCAACTTGCTCACATGTACTTGTTGAAGACTCCAATCCATTAAAAGAAGGACTGGTTGATGCTATTGTTGCCAAGAAACCCTTTGTCAAGTCCAGCTGGGTTGAGGTATATTCAATCTAATTGCCTGAAATAATCAGGGTATTCTATGAAAAATATAAAAATTTCTACAACGGATATGATATTCGAAGATAGACATGTGGAATGCAAGTGGATGTATGGTGCAAATGGAATCAGTTGAAGGCAAATTGAATGTGATTAGATTATGACATATATTGAATATCTTCAACGTAAGCTTCAATTTTTCATGTGGGAGATAAGCTGTAAGAGTGTACATTAAAAAGCTAATGGATTGCTTTGGTAGTCCTTGTTTGAGAAGACATGTCAATTAAAAGGGGTATCCTTGGTTTAATGTTAAAAAATGCTCAGTTAAAAATGTTCATATAGATTACCCCAATTGGAGATAGGGTATAAGTGTACACTGAAAAAATTATGTATTATGAATTACGATAGGAGCCAAGAACCTGCAACTATTCGAAAAGATAAAAGAAGATTTGCATTTCAAAGAAACAGAAATACGAAAATGGAACATCAACAAGCATGAACTTGTCTAAGCCATAAGGCTTATTTTTTCAATACTACTGCATGCCTTCCTGAAAGGAGGATTTATTTATACTAAGAGAATGTGAAATATAATCTAATAATTTATTAATTCTTCAGGGCTGCTAACCTTATTCAATGATGTGGCCCTGCTCACATATCTGAAGTCCCTTAAAATCAGATCACTTTTATCCCTTTTCTTTATTTTCTATTGATTATTGTTGATTGTTAAGACTATCCTTTTGTTTACTGCATTTCTTGCGAATCAGCTATTTGATTGCAATCACATTAATTTGGTAGTCCTTGACAGAAAAGATACGTAACCTTAGTAGTCCTTGTCAAAGTTATCCCTGGTTTAGGGTTAAAGTGTGTTACATGGGAAAATAGTGTTCATATAAACTAATCCTTTTTTAGCCGGAGGTCTCTTGGAAGTAGTCTCTCTACTTTCCAAGTAGAGGTAAGGTCTACGTCATAGTTGTCATAGTGCCAACCCGAGGTGCGGCGCCAGCATACTGCCATGACGCCTAGACGACTAGGCAACCTAAGCGGAAACACATAAGAAATCAGGATTGGTATCCATTAGTATGACTAAGTCACACCAGTATTAATATGAACATACATATTCTCTAATTCTAACCAAAATTTCAAATAGACATAAAAAAATATAAACACACCATATTATGAAAAGAAAAAAAGAATATGAAATACGAAATATGATTAAAAATAATATGCGACTTCTTGGTGCAAAGTAAATACCGAGTATGAAAGGAGTCATTGACTAAAAGGCATAAACAATTTTCAAAAGGTGATGCCTTGATGCCTGGGAGAGGCTAGGCCAAAGGGACGCCTAGGCGAGGGATTCAAAAAAAGGCGAGGTGATACACTAGGCGAGAGGAGCACAGCGCCAGGACACCTAGGAAACGCCGTGACAACTATGGTCTACCTACACACACGCTCCCCAGTCGCACTCCATAGGATTTACTGGGTTTGTTATATAGCTGACCCTAATTGGATTGAAATCTAGTTTTAATTTTGTTGAAAGTTGACTTGTGTATTTGTGTTAAAGTCTTCATAAAGAGAATCAGTTTGTATAGCTACTTGTGACATAAATGAGCAAAGCTATTGGCATGGGGTGCATCATTTAAGTACATAAAGCATGAAACTTATTAAATGCTTAAAAGTGTTTAACCATGCACCAACACTTTCTATTGTTCTTTTCTTTTAATACTCCCCCTGCCTCATTGGGATATTCTGAATATCTTTAGCATAGAGATTAAGAATTTGGAAGTGTTTGGTTAAGGTTTATTTTGACAAAGAGAAATTATGAACCACAAATTTCTTTCCTTAATAATATATTTGGTTCAAGGAACTAGGAAGAAATAGAAAAGAAAACAGTTTTCTCTCATTTTTCTCACCAAAATGGGAAGAATTTTGTTTTCCCTCCTTTTAGTTCATTTTGTCTTCTCATTTTCTTTTCCTTTTCTCTCCAACCAAAAAAGAAAAATTCTTTTCCATCTCATTTTCTTTTCTTTTCCCTTTCAAATTCCTTGAACCAAACATTGTGTAAACTGTAAAGGAATTTGGATAATATTTTGGGACAAACAAAAAAGGATAGATGGAAAAAGCCGGCGGGGTGGAGGGAGTATGTAACTTCTTACAGTAGGCACTCAATTAACTTGTTGACCCAAGTACCCAACTTGATTTGATCCAGGCTTAGTTTTGTTGTCTCGTGTTTACACAGAGTTTAATTGGGCATACACACTCATATGGATGAATAAACCTATTGTACTCCGTTTAACAGCTAATGCGTGAAGGATTTTTTTTATTTATTAAAATCATGCCCTGATATGCTCTTTATCTATTTCCTGTTTGAATAAGCAACTGCTGTCAAGAATGTTGACTATTTTCTTTCATAAGATTGCTTTACCAGCATTTTCTTTGTTAAGATCACTTCTATTTTGTTGTTTTAAGTTACTTGTCAGTAGACATCTCTATTGATAATTAATATGCACTATGAATTTCAGCTAATTGCAGGAAATAGTGTTCTTGCTGACATTCCAAGCTGCAATTCGTAAGTATTTAAATTAGTCCCTCACAAGAGTATAATTTTTTAACCCGGTATTAAGGTTATTTTTTCTGTCACACAGTCATGCTCCAACCTTGATGTTTGACGGAGCACCGGTCAAAGTTGTTACCCCAGAAATTCGAGAGAATTGTTTGAAAATATACAATTTTATACTGGAATCAATTGACATGGTAAACATTTTTGTTCTAGATCAATTGACATGGTAAACATTTAAAATACTCTTGATTAAATTTGTTCTAGATCTCGTAGATCAGCTGAAAGTTATAGAATGTTCGTACTATCCTCAGTCTGTTTGCATAACAACTCAGTTGGATCCCATGAAAGTAGGGTTTGGGGAAGGTGTGTAAACACAGACTTTGCCCCTACTCGAAAGTAGAGAGGCTGTTTCCAAGAGACCCGTGGCTCAAGCTGCACAGATAAACACATGAGATACATAAATCAGAGAAAACACAGATAAAGCACCTAACACCCAGAGGCAAAGAACAAACTAAAGTTAACGATGGAAAAGTACTACAAACAAATATACAATTTTTATAACATTCTATAACATTCTATAACAAATATACAACATTCTATAACTTTCAGCTGAAAATATACAATTTTATACTGGAATCAATTGACATGGTAAACATTTTTGTTCATTAATNATTTAAAATACTCTTGATTAAATTTGTTCTAGATCTCGTAGATCAGCTGAAAGTTATAGAATGTTCGTACTATCCTCAGTCTGTTTGCATAACAACTCAGTTGGATCCCATGAAAGTAGGGTTTGGGGAAGGTGTGTAAACACAGACTTTGCCCCTACTCGAAAGTAGAGAGGCTGTTTCCAAGAGACCCGTGGCTCAAGCTGCACAGATAAACACATGAGATACATAAATAAGAGAAAACACAGATAAAGCACCTAACACCCAGAGGCAAAGAACAAACTAAAGTTAATGATGGAAAAGTACTACAAACAAATAGACCAAGCATACAAGGCATACAAAGCACACAACAAGTACACTCTAAGGTCCTATCCTCAATAAGGGCAAGGGCAAGAAGTCCTAAGTCCAGTCTAATCGACTCCTTCCAATTCTTCCGAAGTCTACCCCTTCCCCTATTCCCCCTACCAACTTAACCCTCACGCATCCCCGCATTGAGGCATCAACATTCCTTTGCCTCACATGCCCGAACCGCCTCAACCTAGCTTCCCGCAGCTTATCTTCCACAGGTGCCATGTCTACCCGACCTCGGATAACCTCGTTCGTCATCCTATCTAACCTCGTCTACCCACACATCCCCGTAACATTTGTATCTCCACAGCATGCAGTCGACGCACGTGGGTTTTCTTTACCGTCTAGCACTCCATCCCATACAACATAGTTGGTTTGAATATGGACCGGTAGAACTTACCTTTCATAGGTGAAATCTTCTTAAAGTTCTTATAACACAGCACCCCTGAAACCAACCTTCACTTAGCCCAAGCCTCTCCAGCACAATGCGCAACGTCCCCATCCTACTCCATCAGCCTGAATGACCGAGCCAAGATACCAAAACTTGTCTATCTGATTCCAGTAATTGCACTAGTGTATGCTAAACGGGCTGACACATTTTTTAGCATTGTTGATTTTCTTGAAGACTTAAAATCAATATTTTTTTCTCAGTCAACATTATTTTATTATGTAGGTACAACCTATGATTCGTTGCATGATTTGATGTGAAAGTGTTGGTGAGATCTTTTTATGCTTATCTTGTTACAGTATAAACTGAAAGACAAACTGCAGTCATTATTGGAGGCTAGTGGTGCAAAAGTGTCTTCCATTGAAACTTTCTGTCCCAATAGCCAGGTACATTTTTCTCTTTTTTCTATCATTTACTCCTGTCTAATGCATCCTTAGACTTCACCAATGGTAGGAAGGTTGCACGTATGCTTGCATTTGAATAAGTACGAAAAAGGAAGTAAGGCCATCTTTGTGATTGTATGAGCAAACTTAATTATCAAGTTAAGGCAGTACTGATAATCCATGCTATTTGCAAACTGTGCATGCTATTTGCTAATCCATGTTTGTTATGCATAACATGCTCATTTTTCTCCACTGAAATATATTATTCAAGTGATTGTCAGGCTAATCCATTTATGTTATGCATAACATGCTTTTCTTTTTGTTTCACCATATAGGGCATGGAGGAGGAAGGAAATAAAAAAACTGTGTTAGTAATTCCAGTTAAACCAACAAGTTCCCAGTACTCTCGTGACCTGTCTTTGTCTAGGGTAAATGAAATGGATTTAGTTGCTGCGGCTATATCTGGACATCTGGATCCTTCTTTGGTCATTTCTCCACCAGGTGAGACAGAATGGGGCTGCTTGTATTGGCAAGTTTAACCAAAATAGTTTGTTTTGACTTTGGAGATTTATGTCATTTCCAGTTTTCTTGTTGCAAAGCATCTATAGGTGAAGACCTACCATATTGTTTGTTCAGTTGTTCCACATATTTGATGGAAATCCATTAATACATTGCACCCTCGACAGCTTACATGTTCAACCAAAAAGATGCTATACACACTCCCATATGCTTCGTTTTTGCCTTCTCTAGGATTACCACACATTCATATTTACATAGGCATACCCAGGCCCATCTTCTCTATTACGAGTAAATCTTTCTTCATAGCACACCATTCTGTGCAGGATAATATAACCAGTCTTGTACAGTCTTCCGTGAATTTTTGCTTCATTCTTAACTCTTAAGGGTACATCATGAATTACGATAACATAATATTCTTGTTGCTCCCCTTCACTTTAGCCAACATGCATTAATCATGTGACGTCTTTGTCAATATCTTCATGTTTAAATAATACGTAGTAGATCTCAAGTACTTTAACATTTGCTCACCTATTTTGCTATCCAATATCACCCCCATTTTTAAAAATCTTCAAAGGTGCTAAATATGCAGTCTAAATACTTTGTATTACTTTTACTTATCTTAGACCCTCGTGACTCTATGTTATCTCTTCATAGATCCAACTTAACATGTAAGCCTTCTATGAACTCATCAACTAACATGATATTATCTACATACACTGCAATACCCCATTTTAAGCAGTCTTCGACAACTCAATCATAACAGTTGCAAATAAGAATGGATTTGTTTTTATCCTTAGCATTTCAATTCAAATCTTTGACTATATCAATATATTTTTGTGATACACCCTCAGTTGTCATCATTCCCCAAAATACTTGTATGGGTACCTTATCCTAAGCGTCTCTATGTATACATAAATCATGCATAAATCCTTATTAACCAGATAATATTACTTGAGTTCTAAACAAAAAATCACTTATGTTGCTATTTTCAATCCAAACTTGTTCCTTGTTATATAAAACATTTAAAAGATCTCCTTACTCTCTTTTTTAGCACTCCCTCATTATTTCATGGTATGGGATTGACACAATGATTTAATTACTGTTTAAGGAAGCTAAAGTCCAATTATAATCCTATTCATATCAATACAATTCAGAAGCAACGACTTTTAGACTATGTTTTATCTTTGCAGTCGGATATGGGTTTTTTTCATGCTAGCTTTATTGGGTGATTCCAAAGGTGATGATGTATGACATTGCATTTTTGTAATACTTATTGAAGCATTTACATTGTTTCCATGAACGGAAATGCAACTCGCTAGGTTAATCCAAGTGTGTTGGGCATCTGACATAAAACTTTGCCTCTATTCTTCTTTTCAGTGAACTTAGTAGTAATTAACTCCGAAAATAGATTGACAATATAAATTTTATGCCAAACCTTGATTGAGACACAATATTTCTTTCTCTTTTCCATCCTGGAGATGCCTCTTACCATCTCCGTCGCAATTTTTTGACAATGAATCTGTTTCCATGAAGGGATCTCATTTATTTTCTCTTGCAATATATTAATCCAAATACTTGTCTTATTGTAGCACACATCACTTCTTCATGCCCTACGGATGAGATTGTGGTAGCAGATTCAGATGCTGAAACAGGAAGTGACACCGAATCCGATCATGATACTATTCCAGTATGCATATTAGAATCTGATGATGAAGAAGAAAACAAGGAAACAACAGCCATACATGCTATTAAATCTGTAGAGAATAATAAGAAACATGAGATTAAGTCCATGGAAGATGATCATGAGAGGGTTAACAGTTATGTCGCAGCAAAATCAATTGAACATGATGGTGATGAGATTCCTGACAACAATTCTTCTGTTAAAAAGTTAGAAGGGGGCCAAAGCAAGAGGGTTAACAGTTACGTCACAGCAAAATCAATCAAACATGATGGTGATGAGATTCCTGACAGCAATTCTTCTGTTGTAAATTTAAAAGGGGGCCAAAGCAAAATGTTAGGAGTCAAAGCCGGTATTAAAACGTCAAACAGAAGTGAAACTGACAACTCACAAAGTGGGAACTCAGATATTATATACAGCCAAGCTTTGATTATTAGAGATTATGATATACGAGCTTCAGTGAATCCTACCACAAATGGAGTAACAGATTTTAAACGCTTCAGAAAGGTACATTTATATTACTGTATAATACGACCATCCTTTTCTTTCTTTTTTTTTGGAAAAAAAGTTATTTGCTTCTATTAATTATAGGAAGGGCATAATATACTGCTTAACCTGTGTTGGTACAACCATATTACTCTCTTCAGTAATGTGGAACCGAATTATATGTCATATAGGCAACTAGACAGTCTAGTTCTTTTTTGTTGTACCTAGAGGATGACACTATATCATTTTGTGCCCCACAATTTTTTTTCTTGAGTAAATTCATCTCAGTGAAATTTCAAGGAGGTTCCAAAAAAGTACCTTAGGCTGAGATCATCTTTATATTTGACCAACGAACTATACACTGAGATTTACCATCGCTACCCATTTCTCTGAATTACACTTGTACCCTGTTTGGTTCAAGGAATTCGGATGGAAAAGAAAAAAAATGGTTCTCTCATTTTCCTCACCAAAATGGGAGGAGTTTTGTTTTCCCTCTTAGTACATTTTGCCTTCTCATTTTCTTTTCCTTCCACTTTTCTTTTCTTTTCCTTTCTTTTCCATCTCATTTTCTTTTCTTTTCCCTTTCAAACTCTTTCAACCAAACATAGTGATAGTGATTTACAGTCAGACTTATTTGGGGTTCTTCCCACTTCCATTGGCATTAATATAATCTCTTATTTGGGGTAAAATTGCAGACAACAGTTCCATCAGGCAATAGCTTTAGCAGCCTCGTTCCATTTTCGAAGTTCCCATACAAGTAAGTAACCAACCTTTTCCATTTAGTTTGTAAACACATGCTACATACAACTAAACAACCCCAGTAGAATCCCTCAAGAGAGTAGGGTCCGGGGAGGGCTTGTGTAGCAGACCTTACTCCTACTTGGAAGTAGAGACTAATTAAGGACATGCTGTGTAAAGGTCGATAATACTTTTTTGGTTGAAAGCAGAGAATCTGACTATGACAATGAGGAAGTGGTTGAATCTTTAAAAGAAGAAAAAAAGAGAAAACAAATGGAGGCTAGGGCAGAGGACTTGTTTAATGATGAGAAGGTGTGCATATGTTTTCGTCTAAAATTTGATGTTTTTTTTTGTTTCATGTATGTTGTCTCTAAATAATGCTCTCGTCTTCTAAATGATGTAGAAGAAGCGCATCCGAGCAGTGGGTTCCCTTCATGGAGTTTTTGCACGTGCGTAGGGAGTGACTTCCTTACCGAATCAAAAAACATTACAATGCCGATTAGAGCTTTAATTGCTTGTAAGTTTCACTTTTCAACCCAGGCTTTGTTCGGAAACAACCATTTGTTGTTAGCGTTTTGAATTGTTTTTTAACGATACAAATTAACTTTGAAAGCACTAAAGTTGAAGGCTATCGTTTGATAAGAAATTCAAAATACTCATTCTTTTGCACGCACGCACACACCTATATACTCCGTAGAATGTAAGAAAGGTGATGCAAAAACATGGAATGCAATGTGGCATTGGAAAATTTGTTGCCAAATTTCAAGTTTAAGCAGTTTTCCAGAAGGGATATTGATTCAAAACACTACTAAGTATTGGCAATTTGACAAAAACACTAAGGCCCCATTTGGTACATAGAATTCAAACTATGGAATTGGAATTGAGGATTTCAATTCCAATTGTGGTGTTTGGTAGCACAAAAATTATGTGGATTTGAAATTGATAGTGCAAAAAATGAATTGGAATTGACAGAATTCAATTCTATGGAATTGAATCCCATGGAATTTTAATTCCAATTCAATTCCAATTCTATCAATTCCGTATACCAAACGGACCCTATGAACTTGTTTTTTTGAACTTATTCTTCTTACTTATGGAATATTACTTATTCTTATTGGAATCCGATCAGATTAGAAATAACTTTAAATATAACTACAATTAAATTAGACCAAATCAGGTTAGATAAGAATTTATTTCAATTAAATTAGATTCAATCAAATCAGGTAAACAGAACCAAGTCCTAAGTATGAAATTCATTAAATTATAACTATTGTTAAAATATTTTTGAAAATGAAATTGTTTTAGTAAAAGTGTTCTAATAAAAGAAAGTGTTTTAATATAATTTTCGAAAATGAGAACTCAAAGTACAAAAGAACCAAGTGTGGGGCCAGCACGAACCCTATTAAGATCATGTTTTCCTCAATTTATTTTTGGGATATGCTAGGGGTACACCTTTGGTGTACCCCACCCAAATGTACACCACCCCACCTCTTTACCATTTATTTTATTTTGTTTTTATTTTTACTTTTTTTTTGAATTTTTCTTGCCTTTTTTATGTGGTGATGGAGGGGGTGAGGGATGTTTGGGGTACACTTGTGGTGTACTCCTAACATTTTCCTTTATTTTTTACTTGTTACTTATTCTTATTGGAATTAAGTCAGTTCAGATTAGATTAAAAATAATTTTAAATATAAATATATTCAGATTAGATCCAATCAGGTCGGTCAGAATTTATTTCGATCAGATTAGAATTAATCAGATGAGGTGAAAAGAAAACATGTACCCTTGTAGTAGAACTCCATGATAGGAGTACGGAGTATATTGTTTGGTCAAAATATTACTCCCTCCGTTCCTCAAAACCCTTCTAGTTTTGACTTTGGAGAAAAATAAGGAAAGTGTATTTTTAGGTGACTTTCCAATTTTGCCCATGATGTGATTGGAAAAAGTAAGATGTGATAGTTTGGTTATTAGTGAAAAAGTATGATGTGATAGGTAGGGTATGAAAAAGTAGGGGTAAAAGTGGTTTTTTAATAAAAAGTGGAAGTGTTTTGTGAAAAACAAAAAAAACGAAAGAGAAAAGTTTTGTGAAACGGAGGGAATAGTATCGTTAAAAAATAATGCTGTCACCTATGCCATATGGTCCAAGTCAATGCATGATGCATTTATTCAATCAAATATCTTTCCCATCTCGAGATAATACCCTTCCATAAAAAAACTTGTGAATTAATTGTTACGGAGTAATGTTTTTTTTAGTGTAAATAAATTACTATTATTTGATTTGACACGATTATTAATTTTTTGGGATTCTTTCAAACTTTTACACTATGTTTGGTTCAAGAAATATAGAAAGAAAAGAAAATGGTTTTCTCTCATTTTCCTTACCAAAATGCGAGAAATTTGACTTTCCCTCTTATTATATTTTGTCTTTTTATTTCTTTTTTCTTCCACTTTTTTTTTTCTTTTCTTCTCTATCCAAACAAGAAAAACTTTTCTATCTCATTTTCTTTTCTTTTCCATTTCAAATCCTTAAACCAAACATAGTGTTAACGAATCCCTGGTGAAATCCACACGCTTTGAAGAATAGGACTACTTTGTGCTTAATTAATCCATCTACTTAAAATGTAAAGTGGGTAATAATGTAATGTTGACTCGTCTTCCTTGAGTTGAGTACTCATAAAAATTACTTTCTCCGTCTTATATTTTTCTTCCATTTTGATTTTTCACTATGTTTAATATTATATTTAGACCGTTAATATCTGTATATTTGTGTATAAATATATATTATAAAAATTTGATATTTCAATATCAAACTATCTTTCAAAATACCACATAATAAACCTACTAGTAGTACATTTTCATCATAATTCAACGTACTTTTTCGTAATTTATAGTTAAAATTTTTAAAATTGAGCACCAAAATTAAAATGGAAGAAAAATATGAAAGAGGGAAAATATGGTGTAATTAGAATCCAATTCGTGTTTCCAAGTCAAATGAGGTTAACTCGTTTATGTTAAAAAAACGCGACCTCGACCAACTTTTTCAAATAAAGTAGCTACAATTATCCTTCAAACTCTCTTCTCGAAAGTCTAATTGATTATAGGAAGCTTCCAAAGTGAAATGACCACCTTGTCCATTTTTATTTTGACCCATAATTTTGTGTTTTACTTCCTCGTCCCTAGAATATTGCTACATCTTGACTTTTTTAGTCAAATTGTAGTACTCTTTAAACATGAATTACAGATATAAAATAATAACTGTAAAATTGGATTTATTTTAAAATATTATTTGAAATAACAAATTTTTATAATATTCGATTATTTAAATTATATTTAATATATAGTCAAAAGTTGTTACACTTTGACCAAAAAAAGTCAAACTGCAGTGATCGGACTACATTATACATGTATTTATACACCACATTCAGCCTTCCAAGTTTCTCAGCTATCATCTGTTTTCAATATATAGTAAGTAAACCTAATAAACAATTTACCTTACTATTTCTCCTAGCTAGCTGCTTAAGTCCTGGCCATGGCTGCCGATCACCAAAAGATTCATCCCGTCCACGTGGAACTGGAAAACACCCCAAAACCTACGGCCCCGCTGGTGCCCCCGGGCAGTTTCCGGTCGGAGAAAGGCAACCCCGAGACGCAGCACGTTGTTTCCGTGCAGCCTCCATATCCACAACCACCGCCACCGCCACCACCAGCGGCCGTCATCAGAAAGAGAAGAAGTTGTTGCAGAAGATGCCTGTGCTGGACATGTTGCTCCCTCCTCCTCGCCGTCCTCGCCGTAGCCGTATCCGCCGCCGTCTTATTCCTCGTTTTCCGGCCAAAGCTCCCAAAGTACTCCGTCGACAGCCTGACCATCTCCCAGCTCAGCCTCAGCCCCGACAACAACACCCTCTCCGCCGCCTTCCGCGTCAGCATCACCGCCAGAAACCCCAACAAGAAGATCGGGATATACTACCGGAGCGGAAGCCGCCTGAGGGTGGCTTACGCGGGAACAGACCTCTGCGAAGGGCCGTTCCCGGAGTTCTACCAGGGCCACCGCAACACGACTGTGGTCAACGTTGCATTGACCGGTCAAACGACAGATGCCTCCGGGCTGCTCCGGTCCATGCAGACGCAACAACAGACGGAGGGGATCGTTCCGTTGGATCTGAGGGCGAAAGTTCCGGTGAGGGTTAAAATTGGGAAGCTGAAAATGATGAAATGGAAGTTCTTGGTGAAGTGTAGGGTGGGTGTGGATAGTTTGAGTCAGGTCAACGTTATTAGGGTTAGGAGTAGTAAGTGCAAGTTTAGGTTTAGACTTTAAGACTTCTTTTGGTATATGTTTATTTTTATTTGTGAGTATATTTTTTTTTGGTACATTTGTTTTTGTATAATAATGGTACGTCTACACGTCATCTGATCGGTGTATTTACTACTCTGGGCTTTGTATATACGAGTATTTTTATAGGAATATATAATCCGTAATACGGAGTATTTTATTCCTTGTCTTTCAATTTAAATTGCATATTATTGTTTACGAATTTTTATTGAAATTATTCATTTTGATTCAATTTATTTAAAAAGTCATGTGGAATTCAAAAACAAAGATCATATATATATTTAAAAATTCGGTGGGGTTCTAGTGACACCGGAGTACGGTGCCACTGGTATTTTGGGGCACCTCCGGTCCTCCGTTCGCAAAATTAACGGTTTCTACCCCCCTAACTCACCCCTTAAACCCCCACCCTACCCCCGCCCCTGCACCCCCACCCCCACCCCGCCGTAAGCCCCCCACAAAATGTGTGGCAACGCATAATAGCCACACATTTAGGATACCCCAAGGGCAACTCCAATGGGAGGAGGCAAAATGAGGAGGTTTCTTTTTTTTTTATTTGCCTCCTTAAAGGCTTTTACCTTTTCAAAAATGATAAACTCCAATAAAGAAAAAGTGTATTTGAAAAGACAAATTTGAAGGGTATTGATACGTCTACAAATTAAAACTTTTGCCTTTCTATTTTCCTTCATCATCAGAATGCAAAAATGTGTGAAAAGGGAAGGCATACCTTCTGATGGTGTAAATTACTCGACCGGTCAAACTATGCTAGACCGGGTCTAGAATAGTTTGTTCGATTTGGCAAAGTAAGAAAGCTAAAAACTCGAAGATTGACCGGTAGGACTTTAGGTGGAACACCTGTAGCCCAATTTGTATTATAACGGAGAATGCACGGGTGCTTTTACAAGGGAGTTTAGGAGAAAATGAATTCGGATCCCCTTTCTGGGGTTTACAAGGGGTATATATACTAAGCTGGGGGACAGGCCCACGTGCGCCCACGTGGGGGCACGTTGCTGATGTGGTGCGAGATGACTGTCCCTGAGCTGCCTTGTCATCTTGCGAAGGGGACTTCCCTCCTTGTCACGTTCTGGCTTGGAAATATTCCCTCAGCATCAACGCCAACCACTACAGTTCAAGCCTCTTTTGGATTCTTCCTGCCGACGCTCTCCGATCTTCGGAAACTAGACCGAGTGATCTTCGAGGGTTGGTTTGGCTAACTCCGGGAGACGAATTTAGGCGATGGAATCGTTTGACCGGTATACTAACCCGAAGTGTACCGGTCAAATTTCTGGTCACCCAACCATCCCTTCGCTGACGATTCAGATCTCTCTCTCGAGTCCGTCTTCTTTGACCGGTCAACTTTCTGATTCGGACCCTTGACCGGTCATGGGTGAAATACACCCATCAATAAGCCCTCCACTTCTCGGTGATGCAATTTTGTCATAAGCGGGAAGTAAAAAATTAAAACTGGACCTTTAAATTCAAATTTCTAGCTTTTCCCGCTCGAAATTTTTGAATTTCAAAATTCAAAGTGTCAGTTATTACACGTGTGGCCCGCTGGACGACGTCAGACCTGCGCCCTTTCGTCTTCCCAGGCGCAATGATGGCGCCGCCTGACGCGGCGCGCCCTGGTGAAGCCACGTCGCCTCCCTCTCCTTCCTCCTCGCCTATATAAAGGCCTTCATCCCCACTACCTTCCTCACTTCTTCCTCGCGCGTCTCTCGAGTTTCACTGGTCAACTTCTCTCCCTCCAGCCCTCCGAGCCAAGTAAGCTCCCTTCTCTCTTCAGTTTTCATTCCCGGTCCATGTCTTCTTCTGATAGTCAAGGTATCTCTTCCTCGGATGCCTGCGCATCCGAGGAATCTTCAACCTCCTCTTCTTCGACCGGGTCCTCTTTATCCAGTTTCGAGACCCGGTCAGGCCCCAATACCACCGTCCCTGAACCGCAACCTGTTAACCAGACGCCCGGTCAGGTTTCTCAGGAGAGGGATGAACCGGTCGATGACGAGCCGGCTCCCTATGACCCTGACAGCGAGTCGTACGAGGGATGGGTGAACCGGCTGGATGCCGCCGGTTATTTTCCTCTCCCTTCAGCTACCCGCTTGACATCCACCCCCGGGTCTCTAAGATTGCCCAAAACAAAGCCCGTAGGAATCTCCCGGAGGGGTATGTCCTCGAATACGACCCTAACTGGCGCAATATCATCGAGCCTCACCGGGACGATAGGGTAGGGTTCCATATCATCTCCCTGGAGAGTGGCACCGTCTTCCTCCTTCGCCCCCTTATGGTCGAGTTGTGCCATTGCTTTAAGATCCTCCCCGGGCAACTTACGCCCAATGCCCACCGTTTTCTTAATGCCTTTGTAAATATCTGCTCCCATCTCAAAATCGATCCTTCCCTTCGCTTTTTCATTTATTTGTTTGAAGTCCTTCTCGGTAAGTCGGGTTGCGACGGCTACGTCTACTTCAAGGGCCGTAACGGTCGCCAATTCATCTCGGACCTTCCACAAAGCAACCGGTTGTGGAAGGAAAAATTTGTTTTTATAAAATTCCCCACCGCTTCTCCTTTGGCCGGCATAAAGTGGAACGACCACCTCCTGAAGCCACAATATACTGAGCCGGCTAACGCTCCAGACTTGGAAGAGAGTTTGGAGAAACTTCTACAAGGGGACCCGTTCACCGGGCAAATGTTCCATTACGGGGCTTGGATTTGGAGAATCTCACCGGGTGGCACGGGTACCCCCAGGGCTGATGAAGCAGCGGGGCACGGGGTACCCGCCCCGGGCAACACTGCGGAAGCTGGGGGTTCCGGTCACCCAGGTACCCTACCTTCCTCTTCCTCCTTCTTTCTTTCTATATACCGGTCCATGGTTGATTAATATTTTGTTTGTTTTGCAGAGATGAACTTCAGAGCATTCAATATCCCCACGAAGAAGGTCGGTGGCTCCTCCTCTGCTGCCCCAAGAACCGTACCGGTGCAACAGGAGCCGGTGGAGATCAACTCTGAGGAGGAAACTCCTCCGACCGGTCAGGCTGGGAGGACCACAGTAAACCCTCTCCTAGACAAAGGGAAGGGGAAGGTCCGAACCAAGCACGTCGCCACTACCCACCCCTCTGCAAAGAGGAGGAGGGGAGAAAGTGTCCCGGCCACAGAGTCGCTAGAGGAGCTCTGGGTCAAGATGGGGCGAAAGCTAAAAGAGGTAACATCCGCCCGGTACACTTTCCTCCGCTTTATTACTTGTTTGCCGTACTAACCGGTATGTTTGGTTTTGCAGATGGGTGAGGTCGGGTCTGAAACCTTGGGGAAGCTTGCCGAGGACTCCCCTTCCCGGTCACTTCAGCTGGAGGAAAAGCTGAAGAGGCTTGAAGCCCACAACCGGGAGCTTCAAGACCTGACCGCCCGGCAACTTGACGAGATGGCCAACCTCTCGGCGGTTGCCGGTAGGGCGAACGCGAAGGTCCTTCAGCTGAAGGAAGAGAACTCGCTGCTGATGGGGGAGGTCTCCCACCTGAAGGAGGAGGCGTGGGTGAAGGAGCAAGAGCTGCCCGGTCGGGCCAGACAGTGGATGGAGGAGAACCTGGTGGAGGCCGCCCGGGTGCTTACTTCCTCTGAGGAAAGGACAATGGAGGGCTTCAAGTTGCTGTACCGGGAGGAGCAAGGGAAAGAGATGATTACCCAGATCGGCTCCTACGGTTTCATGTCCGGCCAAAAACGAGACCGGGAGGCCACCCATGCGATCCTTGCCGACCGGGATNGGGCCAGACAGTGGATGGAGGAGAACCTGGTGGAGGCCGCCCGGGTGCTTACTTCCTCTGAGGAAAGGACAATGGAGGGCTTCAAGTTGCTGTACCGGGAGGAGCAAGGGAAAGAGATGATTACCCAGATCGGCTCCTACGGTTTCATGTCCGGCCAAAAACGAGACCGGGAGGCCACCCATGCGATCCTTGCCGACCGGGATCCGGACTTCAATGCCGAATCATACGGTCCGGCTCCCATCCCGGACGAAGAGCCTGCGCCTCCCTTTCCTCTTGAGTAATCTTCCCGGCGGTTTAGTTTCCATATCTGCATGCTTCTTGATTGATAATTTTTTCTTGGCATTCTTAGAACGCCATCATAGAATATTCGACCGGTAGAGTAATCAACCACTATTGCGCTTGACCGGTAGAACTTCCAAGTTCTTCTTGATCACTTTATTTGAAAGTTCAGCTCGAGTGATATTGACCGGTTAACTCCAACTTGATGGTCACTTTGAAAAATGTTTGACCGGCTGGACTTCAACCTGTTTTTGAACACCTTCGTTCTTGTTTTGAAAGTGAGGCGCAGTTTGACCGGTAGGTCCCTTCTCCACGGTTTGACCGGTGAACTGCTTCGCCTTGTGGAACTTTCGAAGTTCCGCTGTACCAATACCCAACCGGGGTATTTCTTTTTTTTTTTCTTTTTTTTTAGACCGGTAGGTTGTAGATGGAGCACCTGTAACCTAGTAATTTCTTGAAGTATCCTTAACCGGTAAGAATACTGGAGATTTAACCATGTTCGAATGGTCGAACCCTCTCCAAGGTTCAAATGCACCCTTCTTCCAGGGCCCCCTCTTCCGGGTGATTAAGTCTTTTAATGGCCCTTTGATTTCTACCATCCCGGGAAGGCCTTAGCTCACCCCCCGTTCAAGTCTTCCCTGAGAATGGGGAAACAGGATGTGCCACGGTGGACGATCCCCTTCTATTTCTTTTAATGGGCATCTTTTAGTCCCCCATCAATTTGACGGCGCCGGCTGATTCCCCGACATGGGTCAAACCTCATGGGCCCGTGTAAATACGGTTCGAACCCTCTTCCAGGTCCAGCCCTCTTGCAGGCATACCCTCTTCCGGGTTTTATATTTTTTCTATTATACTGAGCAAGACCGGTGTAGTAACCAGCGTGCCAGGTCCGGGCCTGTGTCTCAGTTGGCTTATCCGAGTGGATCCGATCCACCCGGGAAGCCCTCTTAGGATAGGTTCGAGCTATCAATTCTGCCGCTACCATGTTGAGTATCGAATGTCATCGGTTTGATTGATAATAAAGTAGGCCTTGCCTAGTATTACAATCATTTGTAGAATTTGCGAAGATGATGGGAATTCCAGGTTCTTTCTACCGGTACACCATCAAGGGTTTCTAACCGGTAGGTTCCCGGGCGAATGATAGCTCTCACCCGGTAGGGTCCTTCCCAGTTTTTGGCCAGCTTTCCTCCGTCTCCCGGTCTACTAGCCTCCCTTCTTCGCAGGACTTCATCGCCGACTTGAAAGTATCGCGGCCCAACCTTGTTGTCGTGGTACTTCTTCACGACTTGTTGATATGTGCTCATTTTAACTTCCGCGGCCATTCTCCGCTCTTCGACCAAGTTGAGTTCGGCCAAGTGATCTTCCTCATTTTGTTGGGGTTGATAGTTTGATTCCCGGAACGTTGGGAATTCAGCTTCGATGGGCAGCCTTGCTTCACACCCATAGGTTAGGGAGAATGGAGTCTCCCCATGAGCCCTCCTGGGTGTTACCCGGAATGACCATTTGATGTGTGGGAGCTCTTCCAGCCACTTGTTTCCTGCTTCTCCCAACCGCTTCTTCAAACCATCTACAATAGTTCTGTTGGCGTTTTCGACTTGGCCATTTCCTTGGGGGTACACCACCGAAGAGCGATTGTGCTTGATCCCGAAGCCCTCCAAGTATTCAGTGAATCTTGGATTTCGGAACTGTGGGCCGTTGTCGGTGATGAGGTTCATGGGCGCTCCAAACCTCGTGATGATGTTCTTCCAAATGAATTTCTTGCATTGTTGCGTGGTAATGTTGGCCAACGCTTCGGACTCGATCCATTTGGTGAAGTAATCGATGGCTACGATCACGAACTTCTTCCCTCCTTGGGAGACTGGGAATGCTCCAATGATATCAACCCCGAACCTAGCGAATGGGATGACATTCGATACGGGGTGATAGTAGGTTGCTGGTCTACCGGGGTACTTGTAGAACACTTGACATGTTCTACATTTCTGTACATACCTCTCACAATCCTGGACAATCGTTGGCCAGTAATACCCCAACAAGATAATGCGCTGGGAAAGCGTACGGGACATTTGATGCGCCGCGCATACGCCTTCGTGGACTTCCGCTATGACTCGCTCAGCCTCCCGGTTGGTTAGACATCTCAGGAGTGGCCCCCCAAATGCCCTTTTATACAGCTTTCCATCAAGAAT